TTTATTCTAAATTATAAAAAAGTATTTTAAAACTACAAAATTAAAGGTAGAGATTTTAACTTTAGCCAGTCTGTTGTATACAACTTGATCTCTAAAAATCGGCACATACAATGTTTTAAAAAAACGAGTAGTTTTTGCGTTTTTTGGGATAGAAATTTACAAATAATATTTTCTCAAATAAGCTCCAAATTTTTTCTTAAAATTTTCTTCACTTGTATAATAAGAAACGGTAAAAATATGGTAGTAGTCGTATTTTCGGGGATTGTTTGTTTTTTGAAAATTAAAAAAAAATTAAAATTACAAAATTGCAGTAAGAGATTTTTGTCTCAGACAACGTGTGTTGTACACAAAGAGTTATTCAAAAATAATACTGTGCAAGTTTGTGAAAAAAAGAGTAGTGTTTGTGTATTTTGCAATTCAAATTTACAAAAAGAAAACAGTTCCAAATTTTTTCTTTAAATTTTCTCCACATATAAAATAAGGAACGGTAAGAAAATAGGCGCAAGACACATTTTCGGCTATTGTTCATTTTTCTGAAACTTGCAAAAAGGAAATGCAGTGTATTATTGTTACATAACCATTAATAAGAGGAAAGAAAGTATGTACTGTTGTAGCGGCACTAGATTACTTTCTCGCACTTACAACGTAAGAAGAGGAAGTATTGTAATCGTGTGCCGAAAAACGTGAATTTTCAATACAAAAACTCTTATTGCTGGGCCCAGGTAAGAAAAAGTGGATAACTCCAGTTTCTAAATTTAGAAGAAAAGTTCTCTTGCACGTGGTGAATCCAGAATCCGCTTTGTAGGTCCTTGATACCGAAAAATCGTTTGACGGCAAAAACTGTCTGTCCGTCCATCTGTGCACAGCATTAGCGCATAAACCGTTCGGCTAATTTTCTCCAAAATTTATATTCCCCGTTCGTTTTGGCTGATGTCGCGGACCCTGGGATTTGAAATTGATATTTTCATTTTATGGGGGTACTTTACATCAAACCGCTAGGACATTTAAAAAAAATGTTGTTGAATAGTGGAAAAGACTTTAAGAGAATATTGCAGGTCTCATTTTCGTTAACTTTCCCTATTTTTCAAAAATTGGAAAAATAATTTTTAAAACTTCAGAATTCGAGAAAATTCGTGATTGTCTCAGACAAAGTCTTTGGTAGAAAATTCGTTCTTTAAAAAGGTTCTGTACAATATTTTTGAAAAACGAGTAGTTTTTGCGTTATTTCCGATTGAAATGTACGATTTTTTCTCAAAATCCAATTAAATTTTCTTTATTTATAAAATAAGAACTTGGTGCTAGTCTCAGGTATCTTTCGGAGTTTCGAAAATTTAAAAAAGAATTTAAAACTACAAAGTTAAAGATTTAGATTTTGGCTTCAGACCAAGACTGTTGTGCATAATAAGCTCTTTAAAAATAGTATGTACAATTTTTTGAAAAAGGGTAGTTTTTGCATAATTTGTTTGCAATTAATGAAATACATACATGCTTCACACCAACAACTGGCCACAAGAAAAATTGAATAAATGATAAGAAAAATAATTAATTTGATTTTAATTATAATTTAGTATTGAATATACCAATATTAATTCTATTTTTACACTCTCGCTTTTTTAATTTTCAATAAATTTGTCTTCCCAATGTATTAATGTATTGATGTGCGTCCAACTCTCATTTTTGCCACGCTGACGCTTGCAGCGTTCCATGTAACAGATTAATGAATATACAACAACAATACCAAATAATACTTAATTTATGTTTTTAAATTAATTTAATAATATGTCATTTTAGTATCCACTTTTTACAATTAATTACAGATTAAAAAGCAAAACAAACTTGCTAAGATATTGCGTCCGAAACATTTCTTTCCGAAGTGTCAAATTGTATTAAAGTGAACACTACATTTGAACATAAAAAAATGAACTTCTTCGAACATTTATTTGCAGCAGAACTCTTAACCATGTTATATCATGCATATTTTCATTCAGTGAAATAACACACCCACCAAAAGAAAATCATTTTTCTAAACAACTAACTTGCTCCAATAACAATGATGGCTCATCACCCTTAATAGAACAACTTATCTTTTTTCATGATCATACATTAATAATTCTATTAATAATCACAATTCTCGTTTCATATATTATAACAATATTATTTTTTAATTCTTATACCAATCGATTCCTTTTAGAAGGGCAAACCATCGAAATTATTTGAACTATTTTGCCCGCAATTACATTAATTTTTATTGCATTACCATCATTACGATTATTATATTTATTAGATGAATCCATAACGAACGTTATCACTTCAATTCCGGCCGTCACATTATTCCTCGACAGCAGTGCTCTCAGTAAGCCCACATCTTCAATTTATCCGTTTCTTTTCGATTATAGCTGTAAAGGGTGCAATGTTATAAGTTATGATGAGTCAACAAAATATTTAATCAACAGATGTGTTATCGGTGAGTGTCGCGATTATGTAGCTTACATTGTCCTGACAGTCTGTTCGTCACTTCATTCAAAGCAAGGACACAGTCGTTAAAAGATCACCCGTTCGATTTCCTGCAGATAGTTCAGGTAAAGTTGTAAAGTTTCGCATTTTACACGGTATTAACTACACTCTTTTAAATTATACTAAATCAGAGAATTTATTTCTTTACAGTAGCTAGTCGTTAAAATTAGGTTTTAGTAATAAAATAAGATTTTTCATTAAATAAATTTTTTCAAGGCTTTTTGAAATACGAGTTTTGGATGTAATTTGTAGCATATATATAAACAAAAACATGCCGTATAATTGAAGAGTGTCTGTAATTTCAAATATCGATCTGTGAACTATTTTCAGAAAAGAGGAATAAAACCTACATTCTAATCATCATGGCCGAACAAAATGCCAGTCCTGACGCTGAATTTAAAGCCCCTGAATGGATAAACATCGCTCTTATTCAAAAGGCCCTACAAAACAGCGAGGAAGGCAATTTGCAGGTAAGAATTAAGGTAAACGAGTGCTCGCAGTTTGAAAGGACGATCTTGTACAGTGGACTGGTGGCCGTTCTTTTTACTTCCTCGCTACTACTTACGCAGTAGAGAGAAAGTTGTGTAAGACCGCGGAAAACAGAGGCGAATTTTCGGCAGAAAAACTCTTATTGGTAATGAGAAAGTGGATAAATCCAGTTGATAAATTTAGAATCCCCTAATACGTTGTGTAGCCAGAATCCATGTTTTGTGGGTTCTTGATAGCGAAGAAGTTAATGATGCCAAACGTCCGTCAGTTCGTCTCTCCGTCAGTCCGTCTCTCCGTCAGTCCGTCTCTCCGTCAGTCCGTCTCTCCGTCAGTCCGTCTCTTCGTCAGTCCGCCTTTCCGTCAGTCCGTCTCTCCGTTAGTCCGTCTCTCCGTCAGTCCGTCTCTCCGTCAGCCCGTCAGTCCATCTCTCCGTCAGTCCGTCAGTCCGTCTCTCCGTCAGTCCGTCTCTCCGTCAGTCCATTTGTGAACAACGCTATTGACTAAACCGTTCATCCAATATCCTCCAAATTTGATATCCCTTATCTGTCTGGCTGATGTCATGGCGCCTTGAATTTGAAATCGATATTTTAATTTGAAAGAGTACTTTACATGAAGCGTATGGGACATTTTCAAAATTTTAAAAAAAGGCTCGATCGTTTTTGATTTTTTTTTTTTTTTTTTGCTGGATAGTGTGAAGTACGTTTCAGAGAATGGCGCACGTCTCATGTTCGCTGAAAACCTTGATTTTTCGAAAATTACAAAACGTTTTCGCAGAATTGCTACAACTAAAACACATGTTCAGACGTTTCCCTTTATAAAATCGGTTCTTTAAAGGTATATTTTTAAATAAAATCATTTATAAATTTTCGAAAATTTATAAATAATAATGTGTGACAATACGGGCGAAGTGGTACGTACTGTTTTAGCACCTGTAGTTAGAATCACGAATAGAGAGCATATGAGCACTTTGTGCGTCTTTCTCTTTTCTGCTGCACAACTGGTTCTATACAATTAGAGACTATACCGAGCACCCAAAAGGAAAGTAATATTAATCACAAAAATTACATTTAATGTATTATTTACCATTTTGGATTGTATAATTCTAAAGAACCTGTAATCAGTATTATACTTCTGCTTCTAGGTCAATGACCCCCATCTCGATCAGGTTTTCGTCAGTTTCTCTGATCCTTGAGCAAATGCTGAGATAGCCCTTTGTTTTGCTTCTGGACATAAATGCAACTTCAATTAACTAATTAACTTCTTACATCGCACATCACACACAGTGTTTAACTGTTTTGACGCAGAGAGAAAAATAAAATAAATATTCCTCAGCTCAAGAAAACGTATAATACGCAGCCTTCCCCTACAAATCCGTGTCCTGACAGTTCAGGAATCGGGATAAATTGAGTTTGCTAAATAAATATGCTGAGCCAGTTTTGAATCTGCCCCTGCATTTGCGCTCGTTTACATAATTATCTTTGTTTTGAGATAAATAAATTTAAAAAAAAGAACATAAAATGAAACACCAGTATATTAGCTGTATATGAATGTTTAGATGCACGTTTTCTATATCAGCTGCCATTTATCTTTAACAACACACGTATGCAAGTTTTCACACGAAAACTCTTCAGCATTCTCAATTAGTTACTGTTAAGTAACAACACAGATGTTCCTCGCGTATTATTTCGTTCTGAAGGTTCCAACTGTACGAACTTGTACACTGAATTTGAATTTGGAATAATGACTTTGTTCGAACCTAATATAGACCAGACAATTCTTAACCATATTATACAAAGACTATATCCATACAGTTAAATAATACAGTACCGAAAATAACATGTCTGTATTCGAAACAACTAAATTGCCTTTATCACAGTCGCAACGATGTCTATAAAGTACGCACGTTTCCACAACAATGGCGGCCATCAAATTATTCCGCGACAGCAGCGCCCTCAGTGAGTGTAGTTTATTTCTATTCCCACGTCTCTGATACGAAGGTACAAGACATCTCCGTGGAAATGGGCACCGCGCCAGGCGACAACTACTCCAGCTGCATCTACCGGGTGCGAGCGACACTATCAGACGGCAGCGTGCGCTCGTACCTGGTGAAAGGGCCTCCGCCGGGCGTCATGGGGGAGACAACGGCACAGCTGGGCGCGTTTCGCGTGGAGAATCTCATGCTGTCTGACATCGTCCCGCAGGTCGAGGTGAGTAATAATTCGCTATCTTAGTCAGACAGACGTAACTATACTTTTTGTTTACAGCCATTACCAGAATCAAAACTTATTTCTGCATCTTAGGAGCAAGCAAAGATTGCTAGGTATGTTGGTACAGAAGGCTTCACATATATACAAAATTATACATCTTATTAGAGTCAAAGGAACGTAAAAGGTATCATATTTGTCTGTCCCCAAATATTTCGTTTGTGAAGTTACGTCAGTCTGACCCTAAGGTTGTGAATTAGGAACTTTTATCGAAACGAAATAACTCCCGACGATAGATTGTTTTTCGGTGATTTCGAGCGCGTCAACTGCTAAAGACATTGGCCCCGTAAGTGTAGTGCATGTTGTTAATCGGGAAGTGGCGGGGGTATTCCCCAGTTGGATGATGAGATTCGGCGCCAATCTACCGTCAGCTAGCGGGGTTTTCCCCAACCAAGTATCTCCCACCAGAGAGGCGTTTGATTTATTTGTTTCATTAATTTGGTCATAAATAGTAAAAGAACTGTTTATGACGTATGGAGGAGAAGATCGTCTGCCCACGTTTTCTTGAGTTTCAGAAACCTTTCGCAACATTTTTAACTATAAATAATTAAAAGGTGAATAAAAGTTTTCAAAACTAATATTTTTTTTTAAAAAAGCGCAAGATTAGCAACATTTTCGTTCCCGAGTTATAAAAAACTTATTTATAACGGTGAACGACCTGAAAATTTAATATTTCAACATTACTAACCAAATATTGACTCACGTCCAGCCCTACCCTTACTACTTCAAGCAAAAAGAGAGCTCAACAAAACGTAAAGGTGCATCAGTGAACTATACGTTAAATAGTGCTCATCAAGCTACATAGTGAAATTCAAATGAAAATGGCGCGTTTTATATTATTAAAATAATATTTTGGCGTACATGTGTTCGAAAGACTCAAGAATGAGTTATGTCTTTACGCTCATCCCTTCGCAAAATATGTAAGAAGTGTGAGAAATGCGATATCCAAAATCCTCTGAAAACTATAAACTTTTGTTAGAATGTCATGCTTTCCGGTAGCTGGAGTAATCTTCGTACCGCGTATTGTCAGAAACGTTTGAAGTTTGATCCTAACACATAGCAATTTTCACTACCAAAACTATTAAGGCGCGAAATATCTTGTTGTGGGAGAGCTGGAAAATTGGACAGAAATACTTGTACAAAACTCTTCCTGCGTGCGTTCATGAGACGATTGTGAAAAGACAAATATTAAACATCATCACACTCTGTCCTTTCTAATCTGCTTTCCAAAATAAAGTATTTGAGAAAATAAGTGTTACCTATGTCTTGGGAGAAAGCCATTTATTATCTTTCGTGCATAGACCACGCTCTGCTTTGACGCGCCAAGATAGCCGGGATCATGAAAAATACGAAAACGACACGGAGCTTTGAAAACGAGACACCGACCGTACATAAATAATCCAGTGCAGTCGATACTTGAGTATATCCTCGAGCGAGGTGATCCGCCAACGATATTGCTTTCAACAATGAACCGCTAGCTTTGAGGCCGCTAGCTTTCAACAATGAGCACACGTAGCGTCTTAAGTTGAAAGTAACCAATTTCTCGAGGGGAGGACGGTTGAACTGCACTTCCATTGTTATCAATTTGTACCAAATACAGATTATAACTGTCCTCTTTTGAGATTAGGCGCCAAATTTGAATTACTTTGGGTGCCTATATGAAAATAAAAACAATTAAAAAGTGCAATTTTTGGCAGACAGCGTTATATGTCATACATGTTTGGGTCATAAAATTTCGTTTATGAAAGTCCGCTCTTCTGGGTACTCTTGCTATTTTGAATATTCCATTTCATCCGTTGCATGTATCTTAGAGGTATATGGTAAAGTACCTCCCAAAATGAAAATAGCAATTTTAATCCATTCCCCCCATTAGCTCAGACCCCGTCAACTTCCTCGTATAGAGGTGACTCATTGTTGCGGTAGAAGCATACGCCATCATTATCAACAATAAATCATTCCTTTACCGTTTTGATCACAGAAGCTTAAAATCTCGTACAAGTACTTTTTATGTTACAAATTAGTTGCACCCTGAATGTCATTGAAACATAGTGAGCATTTCCAAGACTCGAAGCGCTGTTGAAGACTTTAGAAGTAATCATTTACCAACAGCAAGTGCACCGTAATCCTGACGACCGGCCGTCAGAATAAGGTTCTGACGGTCTACAATCAGGTGCGGCCGCAGTGTCGCGCTTGCTACAGACATGTAGTAAAGTAATACGAATTCCGTCAATTCATATTTTTTGTTCTTCATCGTTTGATCCCAAAAGCGATCTTTTTTCTTCGACTATATTTAAAAATATCGTCCAAACTTCGATTCGCTTAACGCACAACCTCTTGTGCATTACAGAAATACAGACATGAAGAAAGCGCTGTACAGTAAATAAATCTTTTTTCTTTTTTTCGTTCGGGATTACTAACGGAGAGACTGCCCGAAGGCAGCGTTCCACTCGCGAACTTTTGACCCAGGCCTCTTTGGAAGCGTACCTCCGACGCGGGTCTGGGGCCTTAGCGAGCAGACGCACCTCGCAGGCGGTCCCCTGATGCGTCTGAGACGTGACTCTCACTTTCTCCGCCAGATGTCGGTCTCAGTAAACTAAGATATCTGTTTTAATTTTGCTGGGCCATCCGACAAGGTTTTTTTACATGCCACAAGAGTTACATGGCTACTATGGTTTTTCCACGCACCTAGACCAGGATCGAACCCGCGCTCTAGGGATTTGGAGGCCAGAAAGCTAACCCCTCACCCACCGAGGGAATACTTGAAGCTCTTCCCAGCATAATGAGTTAGGAAGCGTTTGTACGTCGAAAGGAGAAGACCATGTTATGTTTTTAACGCATGAAATGACTCACGCGCATATACATATGTAACTGGAGAACAAAACAAAGAACGTCTCCCGGGATTAAAGAATGCACTATTATCGAGGCTATTGACTATAGCAGTTGACGTGCCAGGAAACACGAAATAATAACTCAATTTAGGGTTCAGTTGACGGTGTTTTTTTTTACAAACACTGAGCTCTAGCGGCCCCTGACGGTAGCCCAGTAGTTTCTACCTTTTTCAGATCGCTGACCTTTTTACGATTGTCACCTGTCATGTTCCTCTTATGTAAACGTATATAAATTAAGAAATAACGACACTGCTGATGTTTTCTGCTGTTTGTTTCAGGCTCTGCTGGAGGAGGCCGCTCCAGGCCGGTTCCCCCCCTTCGCCGCCCGGTGCCCCCTCTACGGCTCCCACCCCGTCGAGTTCCTCGTGCTGCAGGACCTGGCGCCTGCGGGCTTCAAGATGGCCGACCGCAAACGCGGCCTAGACCTGAGGCACAGCCTGTTGGCCTTGCAAAACCTAGCACGCTATCACGCCGGCTCGCACGCGCTCTTGCGGCGAAAGCCGCAACTGCGCGAAGAGCTGCCCCCTCATTGGCTGGAGAAGGCAGACGATGCCGCGAAACAGTTCATGGAAAACATGATGCAAATGGCGGCCGACGCTTGTCGGTCGTGGCCAGGCTACGAGGAATACGCAATACTCCTCGAGAGGTACAAGGTGAGCGCTTTTACCCGTACACTCGAAAAAAAATAAAATAAAGTGATTTTACATGCGGAAAGAACATCAACACGGATTTCAATGAATAAGTAAAAATACGTAATCTTCCACAAAAACATATCTGTCAGTCCTGGCGCAATAGCTTCACAAGGGACCAACGCCTACTAGCGGTGTTTCGGCCTTTCTGCCATGGTTTAAGGCAGGGATGTCCAACTTGCAAGGCCCCCCAAGAGTCAAAATTAAAATACTTTATTGTGGGTGCGGGCCATGTTTTCATTACTCGGGCAATCCACACCTGACTTCCCCGTAGAGTTGAGCTTGGACATTGTTCCGGCTACGCTGCAGTTGGGGGGGGGGGGGGGGTGTTGGAACCATGCGTAATGTCAGGCCGTACCGTACATAACGCAGTGCTTTCTATGCAATTTTCCAGCTCTCCCACAACAAGACATTAAGGTATAACTCATTCTTGAATCTTTCCAACACATTTACGCCAAAAATATTATTTTAATAATATAAAACGCGCCATTTTCATTTGAATTCGATGAAGTCGCCCGCGCCCCCTTTAAAATAATCGCCGCCGGGCGAGACGGGGGCGGCCCATGAAAACAGGGCACCACTCACGTGACGTCACTGAGGTCGGGTCACGCTTCGGTGGGCGCGATCGGGTGCGCCATTGCCAATACGGCCGGGCCAGTCGGCGAGCCTTTATCCCTGACCGTGCATAAAACGGCGCCCAGCGAGCGGAAAGGCAGTCCAAGTCGTCCCAGTATAGTGCGAGCTACGAGAGGGATAGTGATAATAAGAGACAACGCTGCCGGTTAGTGTAAAAGACTTCTCTTCTGATATCTGGATCGTGACCACGACATAGTTATTGGATATTTCTTCGGTTTCTGTAAATCTCGCCAATCCCCGGTAAATCTACTGGTTATTTTAAGATTACGCATGTTAACGCCTTTTTCTATATGTTCAGCAATTGTGATTAAAAAAACTGTTTTATGAAATTAACTTGTTTTGGTCATAACAAATTTTACCTAATTTTACATTAAGGGGGTGTTTACCCTAGCAGGGCGCGTGCGCTAGGCACAAAATGTTTTCGTTCGACATAGTTAGAATGGACTTTCTTTTTTTGATTAATAACCTTTTGCGGGCCGCAATAAATGGCACCACTGGCCGAATGCCGAAAATTAATAACCGCCAGTTGGACAACCCTGGGTTAAGAGATGGTGTGATTAGCGCATAGACATCCCTATGTCGAATCCCGGTCTTCTCAACCTGAGAAGTGATCTTCATTCGTATCATCGCCACTCAGCAACATATACTGGGACGTTGCAAGGAAATCTGACACTATAATCAGCCTCGACTGGCAGTCGAACCCGGGTTCGGGTTCATGTAAAGTACTCCCAAATTCTAAAGAATGTTTTTCAAAATCTCAAGGTTTCGACTCGAGCCAGATGGACAGGGGTATCAACATTTTGGAAAACAGACCACGAGTGGTTTAGGAGCTAGTAGTGTTCACAGACAGGCAGACGGACGGCCGTTTTGAAAAAAAATTCTGTATCAGGAGACCCCAAAACGTGTATTTCCGTTGAAATCTAGAAATCGATTTTCCGCAGCATTACATAACTTTCCATGTACTTCGTATATTACTCCTTATGTAGGTACGTATACGGTAATGTAATAAATGGATCAGCGAGATTCAATTTCCAATTCGAGTGCAATTTAGGTTAATGCCCCCATCTCGACCAGGTTTGGTAATTTTCCTGATCCATTTACCCAAAGCTGAGATAGCCCTTTTTAGTGGCGCTGGAAAGATATATTGCTTCATTATCTGTGCACGTATTCTAAAGCTTCGTAAGAAATATAGTTGTCCAAATAGTTGGTATCACGTTCACATGGCAAGAAGTCGATTCCTTCCGAAGGGCCCAGTATTCCAAACCTGTAGCTGATTTGCCTTTGCAAATATTGTAGTTTTATTTACACGGCAGTATTAATTGTCTTATAAATTCGTGCCAAAATCGTTCGTTTTCTCTTATATATGAACTTGTGCAGGGTAGGGATCCCAGAACTCGAGAAATCCGCACAGAAAATCTATCCCCATTGGTTGATCACTTCCAAGTTTTAAAAGTTTATGGCGTGAAAAAAATAAAAAGTATTTTCAGAGAAAGCACTCCTTCTGTTACAGCTGGTGGCAATGGACACTGGGAAGATGTGCGCCCGTCCAAAACCTGGAGCGTTCAATGTCATTGTGCACGCCGACTTCTGGGTGAACAACATGATGTTTCAGTACGAGGACGGCTATCCACAACCGCAAGGATACCGTATGGTAGACTTTCAGGTACGCAATCATTCAAATACAATACAGTAGAACGTCGACAATATGGATTAGCTGGGAACAGACGGCTTCCAGATGGTCAAACTGTCTGGATTTTGAAATGGTCTAATAGGGCCTGTAGTCGTCTTCAACGTGAATCCCTCCCCCGAAAAAACTTACCAAACCCGTACAAAATTCACTCTGATTGTTACAAAAATAAATAATTGGAATCAAATTTAATAAAATTATTAAATGTTTTGACACAATCCGCACAAACATTCTAATTTTTACTTCATGTGATTTTTTGCATCAGAATCGAATTCGGATTATCGACGGTGAGGATTTTTGACGTCTCAATTATTGACGCTTTACTGTTGTTTCCATGTGGAGGTTTTGGTGAACGAACAAGAGGCGTTGATGGCGTCCTCCGGTTTTCTCTGCTCTTCTTATTTGCCCAATACTCCGTAATACACCTCATCTCTATCATACCACGAGTGCTTTGGAAATTGTCGATAAATCTCGATTCGCGAAGCGAGGAGATGATTTCTCTGAGAATTTCCGAAGCAAGAGCAGTATTTAATAGGACTATCCTAGGCGTGAAAGTATGTCCAACACAGTTCCAAAATGCGTCAAATATTGAAAATATGTTAAAACCAAAGAGGTCATGTTATAATACATAGGCGGTTTATTGTACATCGATATGGCGATCGATGTATACCGCCTGCTAAAATAGATGAGTCACAGTTTACGATTAACCAGAAGGAAGAAGTAGTAAGTAAATTCGGATAGAAAAAGCGATAAACTTTTCGAGATACACTGCCCTGATTGCGGAATTTTGTGTGTATAGTTAAACACTATTGGTTTAAATTTCACGAATGGAATAGTCATCATATTTCTCACAAGATTATCATTAGTGGCTTGCATGACTTAAGAACTTAAAGGGGGTCTGTGAAACCCAATAAAGTTATACTAAGTAACTGAACAAAATATACAAGTGATTGGCAAAAGAGTTCTATTTTTCGTAAGGCCTCGATCTCAATGTACTCAAAAAATCTCACGAGAAATAATTAAACAAATAAAAAGGAATGGTGACAGCACAAACAACTTTTGATTAACCGCCAAATGAAACGAGAGGTTTAAATATTCTGTATTAATATAATCCACTATTCACTGTGAACACAGTTAAAAGATATTTGTGAAAATGTAATTGAAACGTTTTGTATTTACGAAGATCATGTCAGGGGGTACAATGTAGAAAACCCTACTAAACCTCTTAAGTAAATTACTGGTGCTAAAATTTTCTTGCCCGTATTTTCTCGCAAAATTACGCGAAAGGTACTCAAATTATCGAAAAATTGTACATTACTTTATTTCAAAATGTATCTTACAGGAACATATTTCATTAAAGAAAAAAATCTTTGTTTTTAATATTGTAGTTGGAGGAATACTCCGAAAAAAGTTTGAACTTTTGAAATTTTCGAAATATCAGAAGTTTTAACGAATATGAGACGTGCATCATTCTCTTAAACGTCATTCACTCTATCTAACAACAATATTTAATCAAAAACGATAGAGCCAAAGTTTTGAAAAGGTCTCAAGGGCTACATGAAAAGTACTCTCCAAAATTAAAATATCGGTTTATAATACAAGGGGCAATTCAGCAAGATCGATTGAGGAATATCAATTTTGGAGAAAATTGTCTGCACAATTTAGCCCCTAGCGTTTTCCACAGACGGAGAGACAGAGAAACAGACAGACGGACGGACGGACAGATAGACGTTTTTGCCGTCTTTCAATTTTTTGGCATCATGGTTCCACAAAACATGGATTCTGGCTACACCACATTATAAGGATTTTTTTCTAAATTTAACATCTGGATTTACCAACGTTTTTGTTGCCAGTGCCTTGTAATACGAATTTTTCTTGCAAAAATTCGCTGTTTTTTGGCGCAGCATTACATAACTTTCTCTCTACTCTCCAACGAGAAAGTAAAACATAATTCATTACATATAACCAATGACTTTTTTGGCACAAGTCAGACGATTCAGAGTCACGCAATACTTTTTGCAATTACAATTAAACCAATCTTGGGACTTAAAATTCGCCGTCTTCCTTTACTAACCATAACCTTGCACTCACATGGAATGGATAGATCGATTGTAACTCGCACAACAAAATGAACTACAATATTACGTATGGAATACAATATCGTAGTACAGATGGTCTAAAAAGCGATATAACAAACGACGGAAAATACGCCTTCATTCAATTAATTTAAACATCCATTAAAACTTTGTGTTTACCCTAATGCACAAGGTAACGTTCAGAGCATGCAGTACCTCAAACATAGCCAACCATCTCTTTATTTAATTGAAAACTAGTGCTCCATCAGCACATACGTTCTCGCATTATTTCTACATTTGCAATATTTCAAAAATTTAACGAAAATGCCACTTGCGCCCTTTCTTTTAAGCATCCCTTCTTCTATCCCTGGAACAAACTTAACGAAAAAATTTAAAGCGATTTTTTGAAAAAATGTTAATCTTTTTTAAATTTCCTGTATTTTGTCCCAAATTACACAAATTCTCATTATTTTGAAAAATTAAACACAAACTTACGTGAAGATCGGTTTCTATCTTCAGTTTTATAGTTGAAGGAAGACGTTCTCAAAAATTTTCACTTTTGCAATCTCAAACAATCTAGGATTTCAACGATCATGAGACTTCACCATTCTCTTAAACGTCTTTTCCGCAAAGACAAAGACAAGGTTTGATTCAAACAAGCAAAGACAAAGTTTGACAAAAAATTTGGCGCAATTTTTGAGAAAATTTTGAAAATGTTTTTGAGGCTTAATGTAAGATACCTTCAAAATCAAAATACTCGTTTGAAATTTCTGAAGCGGCGTGTACGTTTAGATTGTTTGGGGAATATCAGTTTTGAAAGCAATCGGCTGTATGATTTGGCTGCTAGCGTTGTTGACAGACAGTCCGATGGACGTTTTGCATCAATCGAGTTTTCTGTATCACGTTACAGACACAAAACATGGATTCTGGCTACACCACGTGTTAGAGTATTGTCTTATATTTAGCAATTGAATTTATCCCCTTTTTCGTTACCAGAGCCTTGTAATAAGGGTTTTTCTGCCGAAAATTCGCCGTTTCCCGGCGCCCGTTTACCTAACTTTCTCTTCTTACCATGTACTTTCGTAAAGGCGAGAAGGTAAAAAAAACGAAATTTAGTTGAGAAAACCTCAAATTCCTTGTAAGCTTGGAAGGTTATTTGCCTTATTTCCAAACAGCGAGTGCATTACAAATTTGAAGACCGGTTGGAGAGGCGATTTTAATGTCTTCGCATTACTGAAATGTTTTAATAATCATCCCATTTACCTACATTCAGACCTTGCATTTCAAGCCGTATGAATCAGAAAGCAGTATCGAGATTTTTTCTGGCAATATTAAGAACTCAGCGCTTCCACTTTATGAACAATATTATGGATGTTACAGTATAAGTAGAAGGGTTAAGAATCGGCTATTCTGCAATGCCAGCCTAATGAAATAAAAATTGTTCTTCTAATTGAGAAGGAGACGGTGTTTTTCCTTCGATATATATATATGTATATATATATATATATATATATATATATATATAATACGTATGTTGTATATATTATATATAATTATATATGTATATATTGTAACGTCTCATATATATGAACATGGTATTACTTTTTTCTCTTCGGGTATGAACTCGAACACTAGTATCAAAAGTCAGAGCTGTCTTGCAATCCACTATCACGAGCTCCTTACAGGGTTGCACCGTATCGTCTCCGAGCCTGGACCTCCTCTACTTCTTCAACACGAGCGTCACAGATGATGTGTCTGCTCGCCACCAGAAACTTCTGCTTCAGGAGTACCACAGCACGCTGGAGGAGACGCTGAGGCTGCTGAGATTAGAGGTATTTTTTTCTTACGCTTTATTTATAAAGAAACTAGTGGCGCTCAAACAGCTCATACTTTCTCGCATTGTGTTCTAATTTTCAATTTTCAAATTTCATTGTTAGACGAAAGTTAAATCCGAACCATTCGCTTAAGCATTCCTTCTTGAATATGTTGAAAATTTTTATAAAAATTTGCGCTATTTTTGAGAAAAAATTAAATGAAAATAATTCTTCACATGTATTTTGGGCCAAATTACTCGAACAATATGTTATATTTCCGAAAAATTGAAAATGAACATTTTAGAGAAACGTATTTAAGGAACAGATTTCATTAAGGAAAAAATATCCATCTTCAATATTATAGTTGTAGGGAGACACAAAAACAACTGCACTTTTGCAACTTTAAAACAATCTGGGATTTCAACGAGCATGAGACGTGCACTTTCTTTTGAGCGTTATTAACGCTATCCGATGTATATATTCCGGGAGACCCAACGGGAGCTTAGTAACTTGTCCCTGCTGGGACAGTGCCTCGCTGGTGGGTGATGCGTGGTTGGGCAAAACTTCACTAGCAGACGTGTACCTGGATCTCACCATCCAGAGGGGGAAAATCACCGCTATCTTCCGATGGAAAACGTGTACTACATTTACGGGAGTAATGTCCTTAGGTATTGACGCGCCCGCAATCACTAATCAAACAAGCAAGCTAGTTATCTTCAACTACACTCCATATAGAAATTAATTTTTGGTTACGAGAAGGTAATTTCGAGTCGACGAAATTTAGAACTCATTCCACCTGTATTACAGTGAATTTTGGCATATTGACCGCCAAATTGATTCAAAATTGGCGCCACGTTTCAAACAAAGCAGTTTTGCTGCTCTTTGAAATCATTTCAGGAAGAAAGATCATACATTTTAAACTTCCCGCCAAAGACTCAAAAAAGGCACGCGCATTTCTACCCGGTTTCAAATACTCATTTCTTTCGCACAAAGTTCTTTGACGTAGATTGTCAACTGTTTTCTGTTCGCTCGCAGCGTCACCAAAAGATCGCATCGGTTCCTGGGCAGACGTTTGTGAAACATGTGCACATCGTCAAACTTCTCGGAATCCAGCTCTTTCCAGTTCAGACGCGGCGCGCTCGCATTGTCAACGGCAGAGGCAACGTGAGCAGTTTGCCGTGCACACATGCTAGTAAAATGTGTTGGCCGCATTCAAAGTTCGATTCGAGGCGCTGTCAGGCAATTCCCAGCACCTTTCTGCAGTCTAACGTGCAGTAAAAACGAAATTCAAAACGAAATGTTTAATTTCGTTTGGACAGAGGTAACCATGACAATCTCTTCAATACTCATTGCGTCTTTCGATTGCGCGCGGCAATGGTGTAACGGTTAGCGTACCGGACTGTTGTACCCAAGTTGGCGGGTTGAAACCCGATCGAAGCCGTGGATTTTTAAGGACGAAAACATCCTTCGTACGCCTTCCTTCGGAGGGCAAGTAAAAACGGCTGTCCCATGTTAGTAGATTTACTTGCATGTAAAAGATCCTCAAGCCTAAATGACGCCTCTGAGATAAATTGAAACCGCCTGTTTCTCGCCCAAGAAATACCTACTTTCTCTGCTAGTTGGTGAAAGGAGCGTAGCAAAATTTGCGTGGTCAGACGGAATAGCAGGCTGAGTCTCACCATGTAAAATAAGGCATTAATTCAATTCAATTCAGTTCTTTCAACAAAATAACAATCTTTGTCAATTATGTATCGTTCCTTTTCAAGAACATCCTCGTCTGATGAAAACTTTCGATAGAAAAGGCGATGTTCGTTGCAGTTTCTGCTAATGCTCTCCAGACGTATCTAACGAATATTTTGCAGCCTCAAAATTGAAATGGCTTGTTTCAGGCTCCGTCGTACGAAACGCTGCTGAAGGACTTGGATGCCCATGGGCCCTTCGCCCTGATGGGCACCCTCAACGTCATACCCTTTGTCCGTGCCCAGCGGGCAGTCGACTTGGAGGCATCGCTGACTACTGGTGGCAACGGACTGGCGTACCTCTACGAAGATCCCGCCGTCAAAAAGTGGATGCAAAGAGTTCTTCCTGAATATAAACGCAAGGAGTGGCTGGATAGTTAACGGGTTGCGGAAGCACAGTGTATAGACGAGCCACTCTCAGAAGGGACCACTTTGACGGCTCGGGAAACTAATGAACGTCATGCAGGGGGATGATATTGACTAGATAGTGATGTAGCTATTTGCAAATGAGCTATCTCTAAAGGATGGCAGTAACAAAACGAGTGTATGAACATAACCTGCAGTTCTGTTGGCAGCGGTGACCAATCAGTAGCTGTCAAAGCGGTCCCTTCTTATAATAATTTCCCTATATTACGTAAGTGCACTTAAGCAGGGCCCATAACGTTTTTTTCCAACTGGAACACAGACCAGTCTCAATAGGCGGCTGTGGTGGTGCAGCAACGCTAGAAGTTTCGATTTCAACTGAAGCGTAGTTGTGTGAAGTATTCCAAAAAAAAAGAAATAATACTAAATATCAATAATAAATCAAAATATTAAATAGTGCCTAAATTTTTGCCAGTACGCCGCTAATACAGGAGAAAAGTTCAAAGGTAAAATATAATAACAGCAATACCAGAAGATGTACCAAAACATAGAACGGGCAACAGCTCTACCAGAAGAAAATACACAATCTAGTTCAGTATAATGCAGGGAAATGTATATACGGCACTTCAGGGTGTCTACATCATTCAAGACCTCTAGTTTTCGTGCAGTTTTTGCATGAAAACTTTGGAATATGTTGTATTTCTTTCGTGAGAAAAAGCACAGTTTATTTATAGCTTCTCTAGTGGCAGATTAGTTTACTTACTAGTTGGTTTATGGCGGAAACTGCCTATACTCTTCAATTTTGTGTGGTTAGGTTAGGCGATAGTTGTAAGATATAGTCTTTTGACGAGACGGATTTAAGTTCTCGGTTTGAGCTTGCTTCAAGAGGAAGGAATACGTTTATTATATTGTTTTTTGCAAATGTGAGATTACGTAATCTGACTTCTGCAGACAAGTAGGGTTATCATATTTCCATTCTGGAAAAAGATGATCTTTCTTAGAAAATGTTTTACTGTAATAATTTATTTTTATTAAAGACAAAATATCTACTACTGACAAATTAAACACTTAAATTTGTATCATCACACAACGGGCCTACTTCATTATCATTACGGTCTTTTCCATTTTTATATCATAAATATTTGATGGATGATGAAGTCGCCCTCAACAATTAAAACTCTGCTTTTGCTTTGGTTTGAATCTTGCAAATAACGCTTTGAACTTTTCTTTAAATATTCAAGACGTTTTGGCATCATGCTCAAAATATAAACAGAATTAACAACAGAATGTCATATGTGCCAGAATATTATTATGTTTAAAGTAAAACCTCAATATGGAGAGATAATCTTTAATTAACAATTTTGCAATAAGTTAATGCTGTCCGCTAGTATTTTACCAAAAATAAAATGGCCATAAAGTTGCAAAGGGTTGAAGACAACTGCTCTTGATTGTAATAAAGAAACCTCTATGCGTAATAGTGAACACCCCAATATCCATATCCTTTATCTGTTCACGCAATTGAATAAAATACATGTCTATAAAAGGAAATTAAGAATCACAATCAACTCGAACACTTGAGAATATTTCGCAAGGTAAGCTTTTCAAAGTTGATCATCCCACCTCAGAATAGGCATTTCAGTTATAAAAACAGAACTTATCATCCAAGTACGTAACACTTCGGTGTTATCTCCGGATCTACCTGTTATCTAAATCAAGAGTGTTCTGATACTCATCAGTTGAATTCAGGGCTTCGCACAAGGCGACATTTCTTCATCTGTGGGGGAGAAAACGTTGTTCTATTTGACATTACACCAAATTGATCAGGTAAGGCTTTATAACGTTATGACAATAGCATTGCATATAAATTAGAATAGTTGCGAAAAACAATGTAAAGTGCTCTCACATAAAAAATGACCCTTTTAATTTTTGATAAAACTTCGTCGCATAATGTTAAGATGACATTTCTTTTTTTTCAAAAACTTATGTTAAGTTTCAAATATATCCACGAACATTAATTACCAATATAAAGAACGCAAAATAATAAATTGACATGGTATACTAATACACTCTGAACACAAAAAAATTAACAAAGTCAGTTGTGATTACTTGATTTTGAGAGCTGTATAATGAGAATATTAATCTGTAGTTCGCAAAAGTATGGTTATTTGAATTGTTCGTCAAATGACAATAATGGTGGGAATTATGATGTAGTATTGTTGACGTAATTACATGAAACAATGGAAGCCATATTCGTCAATTTCAAATATTTATTTGGAAAGCCGGCTTTGCCGTCATCATCTGTTTGAATTTTTTGGACAGAGAGAAGAGACAGTTTATCAGGTCCGCTAGATTTTCCTCCTGAATTGTGAGAATTCTAATGTGATATTTTTAGAGAAATTTCCGTTACGAACAAGAATTTACATCAAATTCTTATTTTCTCAAAAGACTGAAAACAGTCGACTCATCCAAAGATTATCAGAGTAAGATACGGCACGATACAAGTGAATTTAAATGGAATTGTGGATTAGTCTCAGAAGCAATTAAGAACAAAAGTTTGCGGCACACGTTTATGATTAAAAATATATTTTATGTGAGAATCACCTACTATGTACGATGGTCTAAATAGTCTACTATGTATTATTGAACTTTATCTCTAAGCAGTTGGATTAATTAACAATTCTTTCGCAACATAAAACATGTCTAACGCGTTGAAACATTAGGTGATTTTGTAGGATGTTATAGGGAGAAAAACAAATGAAAAATGAAAGAAAGCTGCCTCTTTTCTTTCCCGCTATTTGTTATTGTTTCCGGCTACGATAAGCAATGCCTTTTGTTCGCACAGAAGTAACTAAAGTAGGTATTTGTTACATAAGAAACTGACCCAAAGTAATGACCCATGACATACTCGATGGTGGATAAATCAGTGTTTCTTAGTGGTTGAGGGCGTAAAAAATTCTAGTTTTCTTTACCAACCTTCCTATTACTAAAACTCCTAGGAGGAAATTTGAACATTTTCTAGACTTTAGATGAATTACAGGTAGTTTTCACGCAATTTCTTGTGAATTATAAGTATTTTAAATCACTTGTTAAACGTTTTATACAATTGTTTTCTCAAAAAAAACTGTTCCAAATGTATTCTTTCAATTTTTCTCTTTGAATGCATCAAAGGTCGGTAAAAGATAGTATGGGTCTCATTTCCGGCAAACTCTCTATTTTCGAAAACTGCAAAACATTAACATTTGATAAGAGTTAGATTGAAGAGTGAAGCTAGAGATTTTTGCTTGAAACAAAATCTGTTCTAAAAGTTACCTCTTTAAAAACAACCTTTTACAATTTTTTGAAGGAACTAATTCGTTTCGTTCAATTTCTGCCTAAAGGTAATGCAATTTATATAAAACACATTTCTCAAAAAATGCAATTTTTTCTTTAAATTGTTTCCAAGGATAGAATGAAGGACGCTTAAAAATGGCGTGGGTCTCAATTTAATTGAATTTTTTGAATTTTGAAAATCACAATAGTTGTAATATGAATAAAATAGTGTTCTTCTAAAAACATACACACTTGTCCAAAGATTGGTCCCGTTTACACGAAATCCAGAGACCCGAAAATCGAAATCTTTTGAGGGAAGTCTATTTTGCATTGTCATATATTCCAAATTCCTCAATTCCGAACTCAGTCCAGGAATTTGAGATAGGTTAGAAATATGAAATAGTGAGGTTTTTTCCTGTGTAGTGTTAACATTTGCCAAGTAACTGAAGTACTGTGTAGTCTAGTCAGTTACTTCAGTCTTCAAAGTTTCCCGAGCTGAACGTTTGCAGTCAGGAGTGTTGTGAAAAGTTTTTGTGGCTCTGATCTGAAGTTCAATTTAGTTCGACGTGTTTTGTGATTTTCCAACAAATGGAGGAGGTAAGTAGCATTTATATATATATATATATATATATATATATATATATATATATATATATATATATATTCGGCACGTTATGTTGGCAAAATCTAAGACAGCGTAACAGCGTTGGTTGTAGTATGAGGCACTTGATTGGTAGCATTATGAGACTGTCTCATATTACTGCCAAACTCTTTTAATGACTGTAAATTTTCAAAATATTGTATGAATGAATTGTGGATTCAGTATATCTTGAACAGAATTTTGGTCCACAGTGATTGAACCGGACCAGAGACGACAGTCCACATTTGTGACTAATGTAAAACGAAGTGATTTGTAAACATGTATTTCTGCTTATTGAACACAGTGTACATCAATAAAGCCGTTTTGAAACATTTTGTAACAACTCCATTGTTTTTGATCTATCAAACAGTACTGTCTCATGTTACTACCCGAATTTCCAATTCACTAGTAGTGACATTATTTAGAAAAATGTAATATTACAAAAACATATGTTACAGAACGCTTAGATTAATACAGCACATTGTATATTAAATATAGTAAAAAACCGCATTTCATTTTTTAATTACGGTTATTCTGGCACTTTGTAGGTCCCAAAACAAAAAGGGTGTTTCATATTCCTACCTCTTCCCCTCATATGAGTAATTTTTCTGTAATAGTGGAAAGAGTCACATTTGGTTATCAATTTCGTGATTGTTTCTAAAGCGAGTAGTATTATTGCAATGGGCATTCTGACTCTTAGAATGGATCAAATTATTTTCGAGAATAGTTTCATAACAGCATGCATTTTTTTTTTCAGAAAAACCGACAATTCCTTCAGCATGGCAGACGAAAAGCAGAGATCCAGCTCTGACGGTGTATTTAAAGCCCCGGAATGGGTAAACACTGCTCTCATACAAAAGGCCCTGCAGAACAGTGAAAAGGGCAATTTACAGGTAAGAGTGCACAAAATCTTCTGAAGGACAAAAGTGATCTTTGATGTGTTTTAGGTACATTTTATGTTGCTCAAATGCTGAGATTTAGTCTTTGTGAGAAATTCGATGATTTAAGTTTTATTGACTTTATTAAAAATAAAATATTTTTTTTCATTTGAAATTACAAAATATTTAAACGTTTGTGAGAAACATTGTTTAAACAACTATTTTTGGACTTGAGAAAACATTTCCCACTTCACCATACATAGGTTTACAAGTGGAAATAGCTTTCTAACAGCCCGTGCGAGAAATGCTATTTTTCATGCTTGTATTCCGTGTGCGAAACAACTAATTTTTTCACAGTGTGCGAAACATCTGGTGAAGTGTGTGCGCGAAACATCTGAAACGATTCGCAAATGTCTTTCGTCTTAACACCTTTGTTTATTATTTACAAATAATTGTGTTACAACACTGACTGGAATCCATTTACGTTTGTACGAGTAGGATATTTCTAGCTATTCGAAATTTAATTTATATCTTTTACTTGACTCAGTTCGCGTCGCTCACAGCGTGTTAAAAAAACAGAATACTGGGTCTTGTCTCCTGCGTGAATCACCTGTTTTGTGCACTTGTTACGTTAATTACTATTATGTTCCTCCGTATGTTACCCGACACCTTCCTCGAATGTATGTATCACGCAAATTCCCTATTTGTTTCTCACACCTTTTTCGTATTGCTCGAAAACTACTAAACGTTTCAAAAAAAATATATAATTAGTTCCTTTATTAGGGCGATTTACAGACTAAAAATTTAGTTTGAAGGAAAAATATCTATCTTTACGTTTGTAATAATAGGAATAAGCCGGAAAAATTTAGAACTTTTGAAATTTTCAAAAACTCAGACGTAACATTGACAATTGGACTTTTGCCACCTTTATAAGTGTATATTACTCTATTCTTACAATAAATTAAAATAATACAATTAAAGATATTTTTGGAAAAAATTTGAAAATATCTCAGGAACTTCAGATAACGAACCTCCGCATTTTAAAGAATGGTTTTCGAAATTGCAATGCTTCGAGTCCAGTCAGATCGATCGAAGAATATCCATTGTGGAAAAATTCTACGTACGATTTCGGCACTAGTGGTATTCTCAGACGGCCACAAATAGACAGACGGATTGACGGACGTTTTGAAAAAAAAATTGGTATCAGGAGACCCGAAAACATGTATTTTTTATGAAATCTGGAAATCGATTTTCCGCAGCATTACATAACTTTCTCTATACCGTATATTACTTTCTCTATACCGTATTTTACGTTTGTATACGTACGTATACGACATAGTAAAATCAGTATTTCAATCAACTCAACCCTGGATGTCTCATAGATTTGTGGCCCCGTCGGTGACTAAAAAATTCAAATCGTGGGAATGCATTCAGACGACTCTCTATGACAACGAAAGTTGTTAAAGTGATGTAGATCACGTATGTTTCCCACCATGTTTCCTACCACTCGATATTCTGAAAGGTTTTTGTTTGGATTAAGCTACAGCTTGAGATAAAAGTAGATAATCGGTCATGT